TTTATTATGTACTCCAGTGTTTTGGCTCATTTGGTACTGCTTCTAACTGATGTATAAAACAGAGCAATGGCAGTTAGGAAACTTCACAAAATGAACGTTCTCTGTAAAAGTCACATGTTGACTGCCCCAGCTGTGTAACTAAACGGTTCTGTGTAGCTAAACATGCATTATATAGTTACACAGAAATATCTTGAATGAAGTCACAATTTTTGGCCCAGTTGAGAGGATAGAAAAGGATTGCCTTGTACTAGTTGCATACGGTTGCGTGAAAAAACAGACTGCCGTAAATTGCCTTGACTATAATGAACTGTTTAATTTTAATTTTGTTTTAACTGAAGTCCTTATGAAGGGTAGATTGACATGAAGTGAATTCTCAAATACAGATTTGTAAGCTCTAGAATATATGGTAAATACACAGGTATTTCCAATCCTTTTTATTGTATTACTCTAAATTCAATAAAGCTCTCCAGAAATCCAAATAGTAGTTTCTTCTACTTCCCAGAAGGTGTATGTTCAGCTTGCCCATGATGGAATCTCTGCTCTGTCAGATACTGCTGTGGGGTTTTACCTTTTTCTTTCTTAAGAATTTCAAGAGCTTTCTTACATGATATTTTGAAGACTCTGGATGGCTATTTTGAGAAGGAAAGAACTAGTTACCTTTTTTATGGAAAGCCTACCTGCTTTATTTTTCAAAGCCTTTCACTGAAGAAACTGTTCTTTCATTTGCTGCTTAAGAAACCAAAGGGCCTTATGCTGTAAATGTGACTTGTACTTTGTTATATTTCCACGGTTCTAAGCGGTAATAGCATTAAGCATATTTCTTACAGAATCATTTATGTATTATAGCTGCTGCCTTAGTCCTATTATTTTAAAACACCTGGAACCAATGAAGTTGTGGTCTAGAAAACAATACCTGGCACATTGTGATGCTTATGTGCTGTAAATAGTCATGATAAGCATTGTAGGTTATGTTACGAGGTCTGTGTTAATTGAGGTACAATGCTAGAACTGTTAAACTATTTAAGTACATTTATGGTTACTAGTACTCTTTACTCTCAATCACACTAATGTCTTCTTTTATGTCAGCCCTTGAAAGCTGTGTTTTGTTAGGGTAACTTAAGGCAAGCCTCTGAAGAATTACTTGAATCTGCATTCCTCTAAATTATTTGGAAAATAAGTTTGTATTTAAAACAACATCTCTTTGAACTCTACAATGTATTGAATTAATATGTCTATGGCAAAGGCAGTCTTAAATGTCAGTGTCCTGATCTGGGGTTTCAGTCATTGATCTCCCTGGACAGGGGGCTTTTTAGAATTGGATTTTAGTTTAACCTGTTGCAGGGAAAATTAACTGAAAAAATTTGGTTTGATTTTGTATACTACACCTCCTAAATTGTTCAGTTTGGGGTATGTGCTTTTGGCATGGGCTATACAAGAATATAATCTGTTTTGTAAGCGTGAAGTAAAAAAAAAATCCAAATTCAAAGAGGCTCTTGTGTGAAATGGCAATACGATGGAATAAGGTCTTTATCTGGCTCAAGTAATAGATTTCTTTTTTCCATTTGTATTTGAGAACATAATTTTGATTTCTCTTGTTTGCTACAATTTTCAGAACGCTCAGAATAGAAGAATAACAATAAAGAAAACTGAAAAGGTGCTTATGAAAGTTACAACAAAATTTTCCGGTCATTTAAAAATAATGAAGAAAAAAAGATAACTATTTAAAATTAGAGAGTCAAATCCCTCTTCCATATGGATGCTTCCTGCTTAGTGTGTCAGGAAAGTGTGTGTGTGTAAAGTTCTCTAATTATTTCTTCTTAACTTAAAGAGGACTTGCAAGAGGTAAGTTACCACAACTATGTGCCACTTGGCACAGAGTTTTTCTTTAGGAAGCCTTGTCCAGTTGATCTTTCCACTTGCAAGTCATCATTCTGAGGCCCTGCAAGAGGCTGGAAGACTCATATTGTGGCCAGATTGAATTGCTGCTGTTTGAGAGGAGCAATTGTACTTCACAGCCAAGTTGTTATTTGGGAAAGAGGAAGGGGAAGGGATAATGTGACAAAATGTGGGTATTCTAGGAGCCTTCTGTGTCTGGGCTTGGATTGAAAGCAGTGTTACATGGAACTTGGCCTGAAGCAGAGGCTCTGCCTACCCCTACTGTAAAACAGAATAGAGAACGCGTTTGGAATTGGTATCTGATTAAGAAATTACAAATCCTGTTAGTGCAAGAGTAACCTGATAAAAGTAAGTTCTTTTTTGCCATGCCTTGAGCAAGATGGCAAATGACCCAATATTTCTGCCCATTCTATTCAAACTAATTTAAAGGAAAAAATGTGGAAGCTTGGCAGGTTATATCATCACCTTACAGACTCCACCCTGTGTACCCACTGTGCTCACCCACTGTGAGCATTCTGCATTCTACACTGGAAATTAGAGCAGGGTCTGGGCTGAAGTGCCCAGCCCACTTAGTTTACATTCATTGTAAAGGGAAATAAAGAGAAGGGAGTAAATTCCTGTTCTTTACTTGATTTGTCTACATTGTATTTACTACAAAAGAAGTGCAAATAGCTGCATATCTTACGTATACACATCAGCTGTGCCTGGGTTGCTCTGGTGTATGCTAAATGAACGTGACTGCACCAAGGTAGCAGTGTTTGCCATATTAGAACTGTTGGTTCCTTTTGGTTTTAAGTATGAAAGTCTCTGAAGCATCCTTTTAAAGCTTAGAAAACAAACTAATCCTGCTAGAAGGAAGGATTGTTTTAAAGAGGCTTGAAAAACCTTCTCAGCTTGGGCAGGAATCTTAAAACTACTGAGTTACAGATTACTTTAGAAGCGCGGTGTTCTGACTGAGGAGAGAAACCGGAGTGAAATGGCACAGATGTCATTTCAAGGATGCAGGAGGGAGCAGATTTTCTGTTCCTCTTCATCACACAAGTGATGTGAACAAGGCACAGAACAGCCTGTGGAACCTGCTTATGCAGGAGGACAGCAGTACCAGAGGAGTCTTTAGGAATTTAATTTTGTTGTATGTGACCCTTTTTTGTTATGCGTTAAGAGATATGCTGCATTTTATATACTCATTGTGAACTTTTACTCTGAAATAGCCATGAGGAAACCTATCTGGAGAATTTCAGATGAGTTAGCAGATTCTGAAGTGAGCTCCTGCCTTGTACTTTACCTTCCATTGGGTTTTGACTGCTTTACAAGGAAAATACACGAGGCAATAAAACCTTGGATTCATACACCAAATCCTCTTGCTTCCCAGGCCTCACACTTGTATCAGCAGAACAAATACGCCCCCAAGTTGTATTGTCTTCAAGTTCTCTGAAACAGTTCTAACTGGTGTACAGATTTCTGAGCCGAAGTTGTAAATCAAAATGTGTTATAGTGAACTCAGGCATTGTGCAAAATATTTAATACTTGTTTATTTGTCTAATTATACAGTCTCTGTACTAGTGGCAGTTCTATGTTTTGATTGTAAAACATTAACATTCTCATGAAATTTATAAAGTGATGTTACTGTAGTGTCAGCTGTGATGCGTAAATAGAACTGTCATAGCATGGCATTAGTGTATATCTGGTTTATTGGACAGCTCTTCAAAACCAAATTTATTCTTGTATCAACTTTTAGATCAGTTACTTTCAAAATATGTAAAAGGTACAGTGACATTTTCAAGAAATTCACATCACTTTGTACTCTGAATTCGGTTGCCTATGGAAATAAATGAACTTTTCATATTTTCATGTGGGAAGATATGTTTATTTAAAATTTCCCTTAAAATAACCAATAGTTACTTTTGTAGTAAACTTTTTCACTATGTCTTTTGTTTGAAATACATTTTATCCCACATACTTTTGAGTTCCTTTCTTAGAGTGTTTGCTGTCCAGACTTTTGTAAAATGTCATCACGTATTGCCTTCATGCAGAGAATGAAAGTCCTGGGGGAAAACTGATGCACTAGATGTTTCTAAAACTAGCATTTATTTTTTCTGAAAGCACACTGAGCCCCATGCTGGACTCTGGGTTTCTGATGCCACATAGTAATCTCAATTTGCATTTTCACTGCTTATTGACCCAGAAACCTTTCTCTATACCTGAGTTTCAGGATACCCTGCTTTGTCAGGTCAGAGTTTGCCAGCACTCTGAAGGAATGTAGTTCTCAGCTCTTTGTATGGTATAAATTGATCAAGTGAGGTATCTGAGATCTAATTTGCTTAGACACATCATTGTTGGCTGGAGATGTGTGGGA